TAATGATTAATGATGTTGAGCATTCTTTCATGTGTTTGTTGGCAGTCTGTATATCTTCTTTGGAGAAATGTCTATTTAGGTCTTCTGCCCATTTTTGGATTGGGTTGTTTGTTTTTTTTTGATATTGAGCTGCATGAGCTGCTTGTAAATTCTGTAGATTAATCCTTTGTCAGTTGCTTCATTTGCAAATATTTTCTCCCATTCTGAGGGTTATCTTTTCATCTTGTTTATGTTTTCCTTTGCTGTGCAAAAGCTTTTAAGTTTCTTTAGGTCCCATTTGTTTATTGTTGTTTTTGTTTCCATTTCTCTAGGAGGTGGGTCAAAAAGGATCTTGCTGTGATTTATGTCATAGAGTGTTCTGCCTATGTTGGTCCTGGTTTTTTTTTTTTTTAAATAAAGAATTTTGCTGCTTAAAAATGTTTTTAAACTACTAATTTGGTGATTGTCTCTCTCAGTTCTAAAATCTATGCTTCAAACTAGAAATACAATTGTTCATTCAATCATCAAAAAGACAGAGTTCCATTACCTTAGAGTTGAATTAAAGCATTTTCCAGCAAATACTTGATATCATCTTAATCTAGAAAAGTTTTAAGACGGCCTTAATTTTAAAGGAAGAAAATGAAAGGGTCTCCCTTCCTCCTTTTTAACAACATTTATATTAGCAAAGATTTACATCTTCTATGCCTTCTTTTTTTCAGTGGATGGGACCCATTCAACAATCATGAAATCAATTTAATGATTCATAAACGGAATTAAAAGAAACTGAAAATAACTAGAATAAAAAAAGTCAAGTGACTATACTATAAATAGCAAGGGCTAAGTATTGCTTCACGAAATCCGTCTGCTTATGTTACTGTGCGTTCAGTAATAATGTAAAATGTATTTCTTACTGTGGATCTCAATCAAAATAAACTGAAAGCCACAATGCTAGAGTCCCAAGTCACTTTCACATGTAATATATCTGATATGAAAAGAGTTACTTAGTTACATTTTGATGATTGATATTTCCAGGATCTACACCTAAAATATTTTGCTTTTTGTAATTACAGTAAAATTACTTACATACTAAAGAGCCAACCCTACCAAGACATGCAAAGAAATTCTAGGAATGCAGCCTGTACAACAGTTTTCCCAAGAAACATAAAGATAAAAATACTTGTAAAGAAGCAAACACAATGTTTAAAGAAAGTATCTGAGAGAAACCAGGGCTCCTTGAAGAGATGGTGATTCCAACTGTGGGCAGAAAAACAAAAAATGAACATGGAACATGTTCCCTGGCCAGAAAGCAAAGAAGCTAATCAGAGATTAGGTTGTGTCAAAAGGACGCAGAGTCAGCTTAAAGGTTTCCCACTGATCAAAGATGGGACAAACTGGCTTCAAAGAGAATAACTGTAATAGATTGAAACACAAATATATAAAAATACAAGGGTTCAAATAAAACAAAACATTGATCACCTCCATGGTAGAACATCAACTTATTATTCTAAAATGAAGGAACCAAGTATTTTTTTCCTCCTTCTCCTCCACCAATTTTTTTGCATTTATATCCAGAGAGTTAACAAAAGAAAGTTCTTCTCTGAGAGAATTCTAGGTTTAAAAATAAATGCAGAACTTCCCTGGTGGCGCAGTGGTTAAGAATCCGCCTGCCAATGCAGGAGACATGGGTTAGAGCCCTGGTCCGGGAAGATCCCACATGCCATGGAGCAGCTAAGCCCACACGCCACAACTACTGAGCCTGTGCTCTAGAGCCCACAAGCCACAACTACTGAAGCGTGTGCGCGCATCGAGAGCCCATGCTCTGCAACAAGAGAAGCCACCGCAATGAGAAGCCTGTGCACCGCAACGAAGAGTAGCCCCTGCTCTCTGCAACTAGAGAAAGCCCGTGCGCAACAACAAAGACCCAGCACAGCCAAAAATAAATAAATAAATAATTTTTTTAAAAAAAGAGAGAAAAGAATCAAGATAAAATATAAATAAGTAAATAAATAAAGGACAAATTTAGAAAGTCACCAAATTATAACCCCTAATGAAATAATGAATGACCTGCAATAGCTGCTAACACCATTAGATAAGAGATTGATCGGGAACTTTATAATGGATGGATCAGGCCGACAACACCTGAACCCACTGGTCAGTTTTAACATGAGTAAAAGTGAGACAAGACCTCCAAATGGGATACAGTAGAAAGTACATTGTCCTAAAAGAGAACCTGAAACTAATCAGTCCTCTAGATCTGACTACAAGTTGTAGGAAACACAGGGGATAGAAAAAGATGTTTAAAAAGACCACAAAGATGTAATCAGATAAATTCAAAATATGGGAAATCTATAAGATCTGGCTTCTTCAATAAATAATGGCAAGGAAAAAAGTAGATGGGACATTGTTAAAGATTAAAAGAAACTTAAAAGACTCACCTAAATGCAATGTTGTAGACCTTGTTTGCATCTTGACTTGCACAGATCAGAAGAGAACTTCCTCAGAATTGGGGCAATTTGAACACAGACTGGACATCAGATGATATTCAGAACTTATTTTTTATTTTGTTAGATGTGATAATGGTAATGTGGTTTTGTTATAAAGAAATAAAATATTTTTTAAAATCTTTAAGACTAATGCATGACATATGCAGAAATCCAATTAGTAGACTGATATGTAGCAAACAACTTAAAATGTAGATAGTCCCTTTTCAAGAAAAATAATTCATCTTTCTGCTAGATACTGGAATTCCAAATCACTAAAAGCACACTGTCACCCAACTTTCTACTTTCTTTTTTTAAACTAATTAATTAATTTATTTTTGGCTGTGTTGGGTCTTTGTTGCTGCACGTGGGCTTTCTCTAGTTGTGGCGAGCCGGGGCTACTCTTTGTTGCGGTGCGTGGGCTTCTCACTACGGTGGCTTCTCTTGCTTCAGAGCACAGGGTCTAGGTGTGCAGGCTTCAGTAGTTTTGGCTTGTGGGCTCTAAAGCGCAGGCTCAGTAATTATGGCACACGGGCTTAGTTGCTCCGCGGCATGTGGGATCTTCCCGGGACCCGAGCTCGAACCCGTGTCTCCTGCATTGGCAGGCATTCTTAACCACTGTGCCACCAGGGAAGCCCCAACTTTCTACTTTCAAAGGAAGGTATTAAGGATAACTCAGCTGAGTAAATGTCAGACAACCAAGTTATATTCCTGCCTCAGGATGTTTTTTCCCATTTAAAATGTAAAGATATTCTCCATATACAATACTTTAAAATGTCACAAATACATAATTATACTGTATCGCTGTAAATATTGTATTAGAAAACTTACTAAATAGCAGAACTGAAGGACAAGCACATTTCATGATCTTCTTGAAGCACTGAACTTATTTTCTTCCCTGTAGCTTTGCTTATAGATGTCTTCAGTTTCCTAGCTAATTTTTTTGGTGTGTTGGTTATAGAAGACTCTTCTGTACAGCAACTATATACTTCCACCTTTATCTGAAAGTCTGGCCCTGCTTCATTACTAAAAACAAGGACAATCATAATGTTAGAAATTTAACTCAGCAGAAAATAAAATAACATCCTGTGATGTTTTCATAACATTTAAAAGCAGCATTTGGGACAGGTTTATGTTAATATATGTTAATGAGACAGAATATCCCAGTGTTTATTTAGTATCTAAATGACCTGAGAGAGTCACTGCAACTTCTAGAGCTACCAGCTTCTAAAGTAGGGCAATCTTAACTCAATTTAACCAATATTTACAGGCAAATTATTTAAAGGAAAAGAATAAAATGCCCTGGTCATTTTGTTGCCAATGCTATTTCTCCTTTTCATTCCTATAATATAGCTATTTTTAAGGTATTTACATTACATGTATGATTTCCTGAAATCACGATTCCTCCAAAGGAAAAAGATTTGAAAACAAAGAACACAAAGAAAATTAAAAGAGACAAAAGCTTTCTTCTGCTGAAACCTTTAGTTTTCATGCCTTTTTCATAAAGAGTCACACAGTCCACTCAACACCGTGCCCCTCCTCCCCGCTCCACCTTTGTACCTAATAACTGTGAAATAACATTTCACTATTTAGTTGTACAGGAGAAAACAAACAAAAAAATGAATATAAAGAGATATATTTCAAGGCATGAACTCCTTGAGGGGGAGTGATATCTTGGTAATCTTTGTATTCTTAATCTAGCATAAAAGATATTCAGTATGTATTTATTAAACCAATATGCAGAAAATCTGCAATGCCAAGATTGGCTTTGCTCTTTCTCAGACACAGTGAACTATCTTTACTATAAACAATTGTGGTGATGTTACTAACAGTAAAATATACTTCAAATAGCAAAGGAGGTCCAACAGCAGTAGATGTTGTCTGTAGAGGACAATCCATCAGCCTCAGAGATTTTAAAAACGCAGCATAGACTTTTTAAGATTTAAATAGCCAAACTATAGTTTGAATAAATCCAAGGAATAACTTCCAAATATTTTTATAGTTTATTATTTGGCAACTGAAACATACAGTATTCCTGGTAATGACTAACAAATGTCAATATTTAGAGAAAAACCAGAGATTCATAAATATTGAATACTTACTAAAACAATCATAACAAAAAGCACATTTTAAAATAACATTTAGAACATCTGTGAGCAGTTATTTTTAGAACAATTTAAAATATTTACAGAATTAAAAAAAAATTATAAATCATGCGTTGTCTTCCCAAGTAACTTGCATTGTTCTTTCTGTGAAAAAAATTATGATTTTTGTCTTTGTGGTAAAAACAAACAATAGCAAAGTGATGTGAAGAAAGGAGTCCATTAACAGGATGATTTTTGCAGGAAAAGATGCACTAGTAATAGTTGATAATGGAAATAAGTATATTTAGATAAATAATAAATATTTATTTTTAAGTCTCAATTATGTAAACATTTGGCAATATTTGGGGCATCCTACATAAATTTCTTTGGTGCAATAGAGCTTATAAGATGGCCTGCACTACTGCTGATAACTCAGAAAAATGTATTATATTTTTCTGTGCTGTACAATTCCTTATGGGACACTGAACCAAAGCCACAAAACATGGTTTGCAATCGTTTTTTTAATGCTACATGAGTGGCAAAACTAGTACTTTCAATCTCAACTGTATATAGCTCCATAGCTAAAGATGGAAAAAACATGTGTATTGATTTTAATAGTTAAGTAGTTATTAATATTTGGATGCAAAGATACTGTCTTTGAAACCCTGTAAAAAATACAAATCACATACTGATTTAGGCCAATAGAAAAAAAGGCCAGGAAAAACTTATGTTAGTTAAAAATGATTTCTATGGCTACCTGAGGAGTTCTTTCTGGTTCTATATTATGACTACAATAAAATGAGCCTGTAAAAGAGCAGGGGCAATAAAAACAGCCCTGAGGATCACCCAACTTTTTATTGTTTTGGAGTGAAAACATGAAAGAAGTGCACCATAAGAAAAAGAACATCTCAAAATTTTACCAAAGTACTTTGCCTATGGTACATATTTCAGAACTATCTCATAAAGTTGTTATACTATTTTGGTATTTCTGTAACCAGATCTCCTATATGAGATGTAAGAACCTCTTTTATGCCCAAATTCACTCTACATAAAATAATGTTACAATGAGATTCCATTGTATTCATAGTGTTACTACTAATATTACATGATTTCCACTTTATTTTACACTGGAAAAATCTCAAATGCAGAGATGGGCTTATTTTGAATAATGCAATGTTCAAAATCAATTTAAACATTTAAAGATTTTAATGCTTCAAAAATAATCCAATAAATTTGCCTTCCTTTGAAAAAGGTAGAATTTTAGATTCTTTTCATTCAATGAAGATTAAAAGATACTTACAATATGGTCACATTTTCAAAACATATATCTGTGATTGTTTTATCCACAATCACCATGTCAGTATCAAAAACCTCAGCTCCCATTTTGAATAAACAAAAAATGGCATAGCGCTGTGATCCTAGAGAAGAAAAACAACATAACACAATGATTCATGTGATGAATCATGCCTATATTATGTTAAAATCTGCTTGAAAATGAAAATAATTAGCCTAAATATTTGCTAATAGATTCTTATTTTCATACACTGTACACTGTAATCCTTTAACTTTTTATAGAGACTGTTTTGCCAATATATATTAATAGCTTGCCCAACTAAAGCACAACAATTAAAGTAGGGAGTATCAAAAAATAAAGTTAAAAATATAGGCCTCTCAGCAGCCTAAAGTACCCACCAAACTCACAAATTTTATTCCTAGAAAACTCTTTAAGCTTTAATTAATAGCAAACTTATTATTTTATGTATATAACTATTACCCCTGTCATTTGGTTTCCAAGTATATTTTAAGAAAAATAAGTTTTCTATTATGAGAGGTTAGGAGCAAGCACATTAACAGCAAAACATTTTCCACCAAACTGAAAGGGAGGAAACCACAAAAACAATAAAAAGTAGACATGTGAACACAAAAACCATAGCTGCTGGGCCTTCTAATTTGATGATGTTTTTAAAAAGTATTAGGTGATTAAAGGACTGAAACCTCATTACTGAGAAAATGTACCTCTTCAGAAAAACTTAACTCTCTACTGTAATCAGAAAGATGTACTTAATACCTGCATGTATTCCTTTGTAAAGTAATTTATATTTCCTAATTGAATAACAAATATACTAACCTGATTTTGGATTTTTCATATAAAACTAATTGTGCTCAGTGTGATTCAGTTTTTAAAGTATGAGGAACAAAGCTATCACAATAGACAAGAAAGATAAAGGATTATCATATCTTTTCTGCTTTGCCTCTAACAGCTAGAAATCATTTGAGGTTAATTTCCATGACCCACAATGCATGGATTTGTTAAGACTGTATGAAGCCATAAAATGCTGAAGGGGAAAACAATCAAATCAAGCTAAAAATCTTTTCCTCTTACATCCTGTTAAATAATCTGAAGTAAGAAAACAAGGCAGAAAGATCTCCAAGATCTCTGGTCAAATAATGTTGCCTTTACCATGACTCAAACATTTCCTTTTATTGCACAATTCCCTTCTCTATTACCTGTTACTCACCATCCTTGCATAGGTTCCTATCAACAAGATTCTGCTTATTCTGTCAAATGACATCCATTTATTTCAGTGGAGAAGCAGTTTTTTCTCCTAATAAACTCAAATTTACTACATATTACAGAAAATATCTCAATTACAATTAAAATCATACATACGTTCTTTATTGCTGAAGTGATCAGAGTCTTTCCACATTAGTGGTATACGAATATCTATAGAGGAGGGGGAAAAGAAATGACAAGTAATAATTTTGGTAAATTTCATTTCTTAGAGTGAAATAAACCTCTGAATTCCACAATGGATTCTGACCATTAAAGCCAATATTTATTTATTATTTAAATATTCAAACACAATAATGTTTTCTCTTAAAAACAGCTTAGACTAGGAATATAAAATCTGTTATATTTATTTTACTAAAAAACCCCGCCAACTACTACTCAAGAAATTAACTGATTGAGAAAGGTCTGTAATAAGCTTATGCCATAAAATTTTCTCTTCATGATTTATGTTTTTGAAATAGGTGAAATTTGGGTAACCTAGTGTTCAATTTCTATTTTGGGTAAGCAGTAGCAGCAAATGTAGTTAAATATATTTCAAAATCATAGAATAGTAGAGGTAGAAATGACTTTAGAACTTTTGTCCACTATGCAAACTTTAAAGATGAAGAAAATTAAGCTGTCTAAGATTGACTTGTCTAAGATCATTGGTTTCTGGGAGAGACCCAGCTCTCAACAAACAAATCCAAGATCTCTCCATTAAGAAGATTTAACTTGTCTACAAAAGAATTTGCAGATCTTTGTATATTCATGTTACAAACTGTAGCATTTTCCTTAAGAAAACTAAAAAGAGGAATGTATTACTTCTTTCAGGCCAAGAAAAGGGTGTACGTTCTAAAAGTGAGCTAAACATATTTCTCTCATTCACACATTCTTCAAACTCCAAAGTGACTGTGTTAACAATCTTTATTCCGGAAATTAATCTAGAGCTTTGACACAGTCAAAATTTTGCCTTCCTAGTTTTCTCCATTCTTCCCTTTACTTTTAATACTAGGTTAACATTATGTATTAACAGTTTTTCTCTGACATTCTTATGCTATCTGCATAGTTTCAAAGTTAGGGAATTAAGGTATTACCAAATAGGTTAAGATGTGTGATTACAGCATAACACAGCACAGTAGAAATCTCAATGATAACGTGAAGTTAGTTTTAATTTTTAATTTTGTACTCGGTACAAAAACAATATCGAACCTTTCTGGAAAATTTCTGTTTAAGACATTTCCTTATTACACTTAGGAAGTTTATTTGCATATTTTTCATACCTATTAATTATGCCACTTTCAAATAATTATAAATCTTTCTGAACATAAGCTATTTGGCTACCTTTATGATGTGCTTCACTTTTAGATCCCATGATCTTTTGTCTACATTTTTATTTGTTTAGAATTCTAAGGTTCTTAGTGACTATTTCCAATTTCCTTTCTAGAACATCTTTGTATTACTCCATCCCTACTCTGCCCAACCAGGTAGAAAGCTTGGCTAAACACTTTACATACATTTCATCCAACAATAATTTTTAAAATATATTTACTAATTTATGGTTGTGTTTTCATTGTCATTTGTCTCAAAGTATTTTTTAATTCCCTCTTCGATTTCATCACTGACCCATTGGTTTTTTAGTACCATGTTGTTTAGCCTCCATGTAATTGTCTTTTGTTTCTCTTTGTGTGGTTTATTTGCAGTTTCATGCCATGGTACATGGAAAAGATGCTTGAAAAACTTTCTATCCTCTTAAATTTGCTGAGGCTTGTTTTGTGTCCTAGTATGTGGGTCTATCCTAGAGAGTGTTCCATGTGCACTTGAAAAGAATGTATATTCTGGAGTTTTGGGATATAATGTCCTCAAAATATCAATTAAGTTTAAATGACTGTAAAAACACAACCATTCAAAATCTGTGGCATGCAGCAAAGGCAGTCCTGAGATGGAAGTTCATAGCAATACAGGCCTTCCTCAAAAAACAAGAAAAATCTCAAATAAATAACCTAACCTACCACCTGAAAGAATTAGAAAAAAAAAGAACAAACTAAACCTAAAGTCAGCAGAAGGAAGAAAACAATAAAGATCAAAGAGGAAATAAATAAAATAGAGATTTAAAAACTATAAAAAAAAAAAAACAATAAAAACAAGAGCTGGTTTTTTGAAAGGGTAAACAAAATGGACAAACCTCTAGTCAGGCTCACCAAGAAGAGAGAGGACCCAAATAAACAAAATAAGAAATGAAAGAGAAGTAAGAATGGATACTTCAGAAATACAAAAAACCATAAGAGAACACTATGAACAATTATATGCCAACAAACTGAACAACCTAGAAGAAATGGACAAGTTTCTAAAAACATACAGCCCACCAAAATTGAATCAAGAATCAAGAAGAAATGGATAATTTGAACAGACTAATCACTAGAAGTGAAATAGAATCTCCAAAAAAAAACCAAAACAAAACCAAAAACTCCAGGGGCTTCCCTGGTGGTGCAGTGGTTGAGAATCCACCTGCCAACGCAGGGGACGTGGGTTCAAGCCCTGGTCCTGGAAGATCCAACATGCTGCGGAGCAACTAAGCCCGTGCACCACAACTACTGAACCTGTGCTCTAGAGCCCACAAGCCACAACTACTGAGCCCGTGTGCCACAACTACTGAAGCCCACACGCCTAGAGCCTGTGTTCTGTGACGAGAAGCCACCACAATGAGAAGCCCATGCACCGCAATGAAGAATAGCTCCTGTTCGCCTCAACTAGAGAAAGCCCACGCCCAGCAACGAAGACCCAACACAGCCAAAAATTTAACAAAAAAGTAATTAATTAAACAAACAAACAAACTAAAATACACTCCCAAAACTCCCTGCAAAACAAAGTCCAGGACTGGATGGCTTCACTGTGGAATTCTACCAAACATACAAAGAACTCAGACCAATCCTTCTCAAACTATACCAAAACACTGAGGAGGAGGGAACACTCCCAAAGTCATTCTATGAAGTCACCATCACCCTGATACCAAAATCAAACAAAAGCACTACCAAAAAAGAAAATTACAGGCCAATATTTTTGATGAATACAGATGCAAAAATTCTCAACAAAATATTAGCAAACCAAATCCAACAACACATAAAAAAGACCATATGCCATGATCAAGCTGGATTTATCCCAGGGTCACAAGGATGGTTCAACATATGCAAATCAATCAATGTGATACACCACATCAACAAAAGAAAGGACAAAAACCACATGATTATCTCGATAGATGCAAAAACAGCACATGATAAAATTCAACATCCATTCATGATAAAAACTCTTACCAAAGTGAGTATAGAGGGAACATATCTCAACATAATAAAAACTATTTATGGCAAACCTACAGCTGACATAATACTCAATGGTGAGAAGTTGAAAGCCTTTTCCCTAAATTCTGGAACAAGACAAGGATGCCCAATCTAGCCACTTTTTTTTTTTTTGGTCACACCTCATAGTCTGTGGGATCTTAGTTCCCCAACCAGGGACTGAACCCCGGGCCCACGGCAGTGAAAGCACAAAGTCTTAACCACTGAACCACCAGGGAATTCCTTCACCACTTCTATTCAACATAGCATTGGAAGTCTAGCCACAGCAATCAGACAAGAAAAAATAAATAAAATGTATCCAAATTGGAAGGCAATAGGTTACATTGTCATTATATGCAGATGACATGATAGTACATAGAAAGAACCCTAAAGACTCCATACAAAAACTGTTAGAACTGATAAACAAATTCAGCAAGGTAGCAGGATACAAGATTAACATACAGAAATCTGTTGCATTTATTTACGATAACAATGAAATACCAGAAAGGGAAAGTTAAAAAAAAAAAATCACTTTTAAAATCACATCAAAAAAATAAAATATTTAGGAATAAACCTGACCAAGGAGGTGACATATGCTGAGAACTATAAAAACACTGATAAGGAAAATTAAAGATGATTTAAAGAAATGGAAAGATATACCATGCTCTTGGATTGGAAGAATTAATATTGTTAAAATGGCCATACTACCCAAAGCAATCTACAGAATTAATGCAATCCCTGTCACATTAACCCCTGTCACTTTATACCAAACTTGAATAATCGTAAAATTTATACAGAACCATAAAAGACCCAGAATTGTCAAAGCAATCCTGAGGAAAAAGAACAAAGCTAGAGGCATAATTCTCCCAGACTTCAGACAATACCTCAAAGCTACAGTAATCAAAACAGCATGGACTGGCACAAAAACAGACATATGGATCAACAGAACAGAAAAGAGAGCCCAGAAATGAACCCACACACCAATAGTCAATTAATTTTCAACAAAGGAGGCAAGAATATACAATGGAAAAAAGACAATCTCTTTGGCAAGTGATGTTGGGAAAGCTGGACAGCTACATGTAAATCAATGAAGTTAGAACACTCCCTCAACACCATACACAAAAACTCAAAATGGCTTAACGACTTAAATATAAAACAGGATACCATAAAACTCCTAGAAGAGACCATAAGCAAAACATTCTCTGACATAAATCATACCAATGTTTTCTTAGGTCAGTCCCCCAAGGCAATAGAAATAAAAGCAAAAACAAACAAATGGGACCTAATCAAACTTAAAAGCTTTTGCACAGCAAAGGAAATCATAAACGAAGCGAAAAGACAATCTATGGACTGGGAGAAAGTGTTGATATTTGTAAATGATGCGATCCATAAGGCCTTAATTTCCAAAACATATAAACAGCTCATACAACTCAGTAACAAAAAAAACAAACAAGTCAATCAAAAGATGGGCAGAAATCCTAAACAGACATTTCTCCAAAGAAGACATACAGATGGCCAACAGGCACATAAAGATGCTCAACATCGTTATTTTTTAGAGAAATGCAAATCAAAACTACAAAAATTACCTGACCAATGAGGTACCATCTCATGCTGGTCAGGATGGCCATCATGAAAAAGTCTACAAATAACAAATGCTGGAGTGGGTATGGAAAAAAGGGAACCCTCCTACACTGTTGGTGGGAATGTAAATTGGTGCAGCCACTATGGAGAACAGTATGGAAGTTCCTCAAAAAACTAAAAATAGAGTTGCCATGTGATCCAGCAATCCCAGCCCGGGCATATATCTGGACAAAACTATAATTTGAAAAAATACATGCACACCAATGTTCATAGCAGCACTATTAACAACAGCCAAGACATGGAAGCAACTCAAATGTCCATTGAGAGATGAATGAATAAAAAAGATGTGGTACATAAATACAATGGAATACTACTCAGCCATAAAAAAGAATGAAATAATGCCATTTGCAGCAATACAAATGGACCTAGATATTATCATACTGTGAGGCAAGTCAGAAAGAGAAAGACAAACACCATATGGTATCATTTATATTTTGGATCTAAAATACAACACGAACTTATTTACAAAACAGAAATAGACTCACAGACACAGAGAATAAACTTATGGTTACCAAAGGGGAAAGGGGGTGGGCAAGGGATAAATTAGGAGTTTGGGATTAGCAGATACAAACTACTATATATAAAATAAACAACAGGTCCTACTGTTTAGCACAGGGAACTATATTCATATCTTGTAATAACCTATAATAGAGAAGAATATGAAATAGAATATATATACATACACACACATATATGTATAACTGAATCACTTTGCTGTATGCCAGAAAGCAACACAACATTGTAAACTGACTGTACTTCAATTAAGTATACATATATTTACTAATTTAATAGTCAAGTGACAGGATTTAATTATTTACGTTTTCTTTTCTTTTTTAAAATATTTATTTATTTATTTGGCTGCACCGGATCTTAGTTGCTGCACGCAGGATCTTCATTGCTGCATGTGGGATCTCTAGTTGTGGCATGTGGGATCTAGTTCCCTAACCAGGGCTCGAAGGCAGGCCCCCTGTATTGGGAACATGGAGTCTTAGCCACTGGACATTTGCATTTTCTTGACTAAGAAAAATGTTAATAAACTTACTGGCCAGTTCAGTAAATATGTTTGTATCCATGGCCCATTTTTCTTTTTCTTTTTAAAAATATATTTATGGTTTGTACTTTTAAAAAGTAATTATTTAGGGACTTCCCTGGTGGCACAGTGATTCAGAATCTGCCTGCCAAGGCAGGGGACACGGGTTCGAGCCCTGGTCTAGGAAGATCCCACATGTCGCAGAGCAACTAAGCCCAGGCGCCACAACTACTGAGCCTGCGCTCTAGAGCCTGCAAGCCACAACTACTGAGCCTGTGCTCTAGAGCCTGTGAGCCACAACTACTGAGCCTGTGTGCCACAACTACTGAAGCCCGTGAGCCTAGAGCCCGTGCTCCACAACAAGAGAAGCCACCACAATGAGAAGCCCATGCACGGCAACAACAAATAACCCCCCCTCGCCACAACTAAAGGAAGCCCACGTGGCAATGAAGACCCAATGCAGCCCAAATAAATGAATAAATGAATGAATGAATGAATCTTAAAAAATTAATTATTTAATATTTGTAAGATTTTTAAGTATGTGAGGTAAACATATAAATATTCTTCTTATAAAAACAGTTCTAGCTCCATTTATATATTTAATAGGCCTTCTCTTCTTCACTGATTGAATGATACCATCTTTATCATATATGCCGTTCTGAGTAAGTGTTCTTTCCTTGGCTATATGCTTTATAGATCTGATTGAATCGTTATCTATCCTGATACCAATACCATACCATCATAACCATTGAAACATTATAATATACTTTACCATCTGTCAGAATTATGTTCTTCCAAAAACATTTTATTCTCTCTTGCTAATTTCTTTAAGTAAATCTTAGAAATAATGTGTCAAAATTCCCCCTCCAATGTTTTATTAGAATTCTAGTATCCAAAGTACTTGGGAACTGTTAACTTTACAATATGCTATTTACATAGAGTAGCATAATACAGTTACCCTTATATTTTTATTAAGGTTATTCATGCGGTATTTAATGTTTTTGTTTTTTGCTGCTTTTATTGTAACTCGTTCTTGCTGGTGTTGAGAGCAGCTACAACTTTTTATGTACATATCTTGAATCTAGCCACTTTTACTGAATTCTTTATTAATTCAAACAATGTTTCAGTAAATCTCCTTATATTTTCTAGGTCTGCAATTTATTATCTTCAAATAGTACTCAATTTATCTATTTCTTTTCAGTAGTTACATCTTTCATTCTTACTATTTTAGCTAAAATTTCTAAAACTCTGTTGTAATATTAATATAATAGACATTGCTATTTTGTTCTTGATTTTAATGGGCTCACCTTTATTGTTTTATAATTATGACTTGGCTGATGTCCTGTCAAAGGGCCTGCTTCTTGCTTCACCAGAATTGCTGACTCACTGCATTTCACAACTGTTCTTTTTCACAGCTATTCTTTTTCTAGTAGGGTGGTTTTAACTATTTACACTATCTTGGAAGGAACAAGGACCCTTACTTACTTTGCTGTACAACCATGGCCTATTGGTCAGTCTTGCCCTTTCCCATGCCTATAGCTATGTCAGATCCTCAAGAGGAGAAGGTGGACATTTCTTATCTATTTCCCAGGTGGTCATGTACTGTTCAGATGGCAAAAGATGTGTAACTCATTAGCTACATTTTAAAATTCAGTCTCGAAGAGTAGAAATTCCTTCCAGCTTCTTGCAAATGGTTGACTCAGTTTTAATTTACAGTACACTTACCTTTGTCTTTTTTTTAATGTCTTAATTGACACTTTAATGGTAAAGTGAAAGAGCCATAATAGGATAGCTAACTTGATGCTATCAGGTCCTAGAAGTCTATCATTTTCAAAAGTGAAAACCGATGTACTTTGTGAACTGATTTGGCTTTAGTCATCGAATTAGTAGTTAGTGAATAGGCTGAGACAATTACCATATGCAATTATTTGGTGTTGAGCAGAAACAATCAGGATAAACCTCAATTATTCTTTTTACTTTTATAAAGATCTGGCCAGTGAGTGGTGAAGCTAGAAATAGAAATCCCAGGTATCTCCTGGAAATCAATGTAATCTCAGAAACATTATGAAACTTTGTTGCAAATATTCATTTTGATCAAAACAAAAGTCACATTTTCATTCCCATGTCAAAAGAAAATGGATTTATAAAGGTGAATTAGTTTTTAATGTTCTTTGCTTTTATCTTTCACAAATATACAGACAAGATATATTTAAGCCTAAGCAAAGATGTAAAGAAATTACGTATGTATCCCATTTTCTGAGACTTTTGGCTCCTTAATTTAATTTAAAATTATCTTTTAAAAAGAAGAAACACATGCGGAAATAAGTTTAATTTCTATACTCGAGTATTCATGGTCAAGAAAATAGTTTTTTCTCTACTTTAAATGTTTTTATTTAAACACTCTTCTAAATGGAGAGTTAATGCTAATTTCATGATTGCTGCAGTCCATAAACTATTATGAAATGACAGTAGAGGCTAACTTTATCATGGCATTCAGTCTTCAACAGCAATTTAACACATCTCATTTGTGTACTGAGTGGCACTACATCAGAAGCAAGGAATGGAGGATTATGTTTAAGTTTTTTTAGAAAACCCCCTTTAAAGATCTATAATATTTTGTTTTTTCACATTAAAATGTATTGAACATAGTGAACAACTAATATGTAAAAGTGCTATGCTTGGCATCAAAAGGATAAATAAGATATAAAACATATTCCATTCATAATTGGAAAGATGAAAACAAATATAAATAACTACAAAACAAGCAATGGATTTTTATATATAGCTCAGATATTTTTCTGAAGAATTTTTGCTGAGGGTAATTCCTCTGACTTAGGACAATTATGTCATATGTAAAATTCAGGTATATCCTTCCTGTAAGAGAATTTTTAACATGAAGACATTTTTAAAAACAGTTCCTTGGGGAAAAAAACAAAACAAAACAAAACAGTTCCTTGGGTAAGAGGGCCTGAAATACAGCAGCAGGCTCCCTGGAGCTAAGAGAACAAGGCTTTTAGCCAATGAAACAAACTAGTTATTACTTAAGGACCGCTGGAGGTCTGTTGTTTCCAAAACGTACCAATGAGATAATATTTATAAAAGGTACATTATCTAACTAGCATACACATGAGTCAGCCATGTATTTATTCACTTCAATCTGTGGCATCTCCAAGCCATTGTCGTTAGCTTCCTTAACACTTTGGAGAAACTGAGACAACACAGCATAAGTGCCATCTAGTGGTAAAGTGTCTCCTAACTGCATTAAGAATTAGAGAAGGGAAAAACATTTCTAGCAGGGAACAGGGAAGGCTTTATAGATGAGCAAATAGATCATGAAGATAATATAGTTATTTCAAGAGCTAACTGGGTATTAGGAACATGGGGTGTGTTGACAGAACAGGGAGAGAAATGTCTGGCTAAAGCAGACAGCTTATGTGTAGGAGTAGTGGAAGATATGACTAGAAAAATATTTGGGAATAGAAAACTCTAGGGGGAAGTCTAGTCTCTACCCTATGGGCAATGGAGTGTAGTCATCCATCCAATCAATATTCACTGAGTGATAACTACGTACAAGCACTGTGTTAGCTCCTGGTTATATAGTGATGAACAAAGCAAACAGGGTTCCAACCCTCATGGAAATTCTGGAGTAGACAAACGTTAAACACAGTATTGAAACTCTGAGCAAAAAGGGAATGGGGAGTCAAAAGACTTGAGTTTGCAGCCCAGCTCAACCAAAGTCACTTAACCTCTGAGTCTATAGAAAAAGGGAACTACCCTACCTATTACACAGTGTTGTAGTGAGGAGAAAACTTCATAATATATGTAATATACATGAAACAGTTTTCTCAAATTGTAAAATTCTACACAAATGTAGAGCATAATGATGAAAACAGTGTTTTAGAACAAATATTCTGATAGAGGTATGCAAAATAAAATGAAAAAAGAAAATGGACATAGGGAATTAAAAAGCCCCACAAACTCTAGGAAGTTACTTTATAGAATTTATTCAGCAATAGAAAAATGATCCATTATAGCATACCTGATATGGCAATCCTTCCCTTACATGCTGTTCGTGCTTTACTTTCGAAATTCACATCACTGTCAAAAGAAAAAAACCCTAATGAAAAAAAGGATCTTCTCTAATAAGCAATTGTTTTAACGAACTTTCACAAATGCCTAAATATTAAAAATAAACACATCCTTGAATAATAATGACTTCCAGTTAACATAAACTATCTGACTCAAACTTTATGATGTTTAGCCAACAGTAGCTGGCTTTAAAAGAAATATATAGAGCCATTATCTTTGATTTTTTTCATACAAGCTTTACATTCCCTGATGATTATATAATGGCTTACTCTACAATGAAAGGCTTTTGTGACCTCTTACATTTAAAAACAAGATGTGCAATATTTGTACAGGTCCTAGGAAGTATTAATACCTTGCATCACCATTTCATAAATTATATTTCTAGCTTACCAGATTATAGTTGCCTGGAAAAGTTAATGAACTTCCCAACCATGAACATGCTGCCCAAGAGTATCTTATCCTTATAAAATCTAACAAATATTTTAAAAATTACTCTCTGCTACATATTCATGTGTGGTATATCATATTTCATTTACTTGAAGTTCTAAAAAGCTAAGCATACACTGAAACAATAAATGAACTAAGTTGGCAAAGGAAGGGAGTAGCCCTCTAGAGAGAGTAAAATGTGGAGAGGAAAACGTTATCGTGACAATAGAAAACGTCTCAAAGGAAATTCTTGGGATATAAGACATTTCCAGTTCTGACTGTAGACTATATTATTATCATAAAAATTTTTTTCAGGGACTTCCCTGGTGGTGCAGTGGTTAACGCTCCACGCTCCCAATGCAGGGGGCCTGGGTTCGATCCCTGGTATGGGAACTGGAACCCACGTGCATGCCACAACTAAGAGTTTGCATGCCACAACTAAGGAGCCCACGTACCACAACTAAGAAGCTGGCGAGCCGCAACTAAGGAGCCCATGAGCTGCAACTAAGGAGCCCATGAGCTGCAACTAAGGAGCCCACAAGCTGCAACTAAGACCTGACACAACCAAATAATAAGTACTTACATATTTAAAAAAATTTTTTTCAAAATAGTTATCTTCTATTAGACCAAATCAATCCCATCTCTGAATAGTTATCCAATATCCTATTTCCTAATAACCTGTATTTAGAGATTAGCATTCCATTTCTAGAGCAATGTATCCAGGAGTATTCTTCTTTGCAGTCTTTTTTGGCCTCTATTTAATTTGGTTAGCCAATTAACTGCCAGTTAATTTAACTAGGTACTTCAAATACGTGGTAAGATAGAAACTTTTCATTTGAATACTGTTTTGATTCTAAAATGGCTTTTGGAGAAAGATTGGGTGGGAGTTTGAAGTGTATCTAACTAAGTTTCAGGAGAGTATGACACACCTTAACACATTTCAGTAGCCTTGTTAAAAAGATTGCATATATATTCATTATCATGCATCCAAATTTGAAAACCAAATACATCATCCCACCTTTTTTTACTCTCTTAGTGGATTAAGCACGTAAGTATTACAGGTGAAATATATTCCAAAGGAGCAAAAAGAATTTACTGATGTATTGAAGTCGATAAGCTTATATGGGACATTTATATGGTATTTACAGAATCAAGCACTAGGTGTAACTAAAGTAATGTAGTAGACTTAAAGCCATAAATTTTCAGGATCCTATCTAATTACCTTATGGTCACACTGGTATTTAAGTTAAAAGGAAATTCACTCAGTGAAAAATAAAAGTACTCATTATTTCAAAATAATGTTTTGTTGAATCATAAATTTTAAAAAGAGTCAAGTTCAGTAATTTATACTCAAGTTCAGTTTGTCACGTTGGAGAATTTTAGCTGGCTTATTAATTCATCAGAGTGAAAAATTCAATTGAATAGTCTACTATGTTGTGGTGAAAATAATATACTGAAAGGCCCACTAGAAACCAAACACAAATCTCAATTTCCTCAAATTGGTACAAGAAATACAATATAAATACAGTTGGTTGGCATTTGTAATACTTCTAAAAACACGTTCTATATGAGCAATGCATAATATAAATTCTTAAAATATTTATTTCAGTGAAAAAATACAAGGAGGCTCTAATACAGTGAGTAACTTGAGTATTATGGAATAGGTCATAAATTATGTTAAAATTGAAATCCATTAGGCATTATTAAATTGGATTAAACTTGAGGCTTTGGCAGACAAAGTGAAATTCTAAAATATTAGAATCACCAAAAGCAAACTTGCTGAATATTTACCAAAAAAATTTTTCCCCTCCAAACTATTCAACCACCTGGCAGAGTATAGCTTTCTCCCCTATAAGTATAAAATTACTTGCATAGGCATTTTCAGGACCTGTCAACAAACTTATTATATACAAATATTATCAAATTATAATATAAATCCAATTAACCATATAATCTTACAGAATGATTCTTTCTTTAAAAAACTGAGAGATGAACTAAAGTAATCCAGACTCATGTTTCAGAAGCTTGAATTATTTTCATTTCAAATAACTCAACTGCTATTTAGGGTGCTAAAATGTGATGTTTTTCTAATTAATCCAAATTGACAATAAATTGTTAAACATTATCTGTTTAATAATGTGCTACTGTAGCTAATAGTTTGCTACAGTTAAATCAACAGTTGTTTTAAAATCTGCAATGTTAATGTCAATTCTAAATGCTACAGTTAGAGAGCCAGTCTGAGGAAAAAGCAAATAACCACAAAATCAAACAAAAGCACAGCTAAATAATAGTGTACCTTATTCTTTTTTTTTTTTTTTACCTTATTCCTATGAACCCAGTTTAGAGCATTATTTTGGTAAGACTTGTAATTTAAAAGATAGAGACAAAAATATATAAGACAAACTTTTAACTCTGTTTTATTAACTTATATTTCTGCGTGTAGGTAAATAAAATGACCAACAGAGGGTGCCAATCAGCCACTTTGTTGCTCAAAAATCTGTATTAAAATTGGCCAAGTAAATACGGATTATCCTATTTTATATTGTTCCATATGGGAATTTAAAATAGCATTTCTTTTCCAGAATTAACAAGATACAATGAGAAATAACACAATGATGAAAGTATTTTATATTAACAAAGCATTTAGAAGAATTCTAAATACTATTCTATTATTTGAAAGCAGGTTATAAAATTCTTCACCTCTTGTGCAAATAAGTGAAAACTAAAACACACAGAAATGCTTAATGTGGACTTTTAAACCATCCTAAAACTACGTGGTATAAAATTAATACCTTCATAGCTATGTTAAGCTGGGAAGATGAGTTTTCTACTTCAAACCTTGAGACAACAACCTCTTTTCAACAGACACCAAACAATATAAAGTTTAAAAAAATAAAATAATTAATGTCTTAACTATACCATGTTTTATTGTAGAAATACCAGGAGTACATAATTTTCACTGGCAATCTACATTTTTATTTTTGTTTATGTTGTAGTATAGAAGCAATTAAACTAGGCAATTGGAGTATGAGAAACTAGTTTTTGTGGCGTTATTAAAATCAGAATTATGGTGAATGAAACCTAAAATTAGGTACTATAAATGTCTTTGACTAGTATTATTTTCACAAAGCCAAATACAGTTTTAAGAAGTTAAGGCAAGAGACAGACTAGTGGGTTGGGGCAGAGGAGAATATTATTGCTAAAATGTAAGCTCTGCAAGAATATGGATTTTTTTGTCTATTCTGTTCACTGCTCAATCACCAGTGCCTGGTATACAGCTCAGTACATTCTAAGGCACTCAGTAAAGACTTAGTGAATACTAAATGTAGTAAAATAGGATATGTCTTTTTGGTGGAGCAAGCAGTAGATTTAGACTAAAGTCTTAGGTGTGACTCTTATCCATCAATAACTAGTTAATGAGTTGCTGTTAACCTCTTAGCCTCAGCAACCTCATCTGTAAAATGCGGGAAGTATCTACTTAACCTCATAGCTACAGAATGCAATAATATTTTTAATGTATTCTGAATCATTCTTAGAAATGCTACACAAATACTAGGATTACTTTGTGAGTGTTTGTATTTTTGGCTTCAGTATTAACTTGGAGCTTATGTGGAAGAGGCACTAAATCATTTGTTAAAGTGATCAGAGTATGACTTTCCAGTTTGTGTAAAATAATGGTAGCCTCCTAAACTGGAATCTCTCCAGGAAATCCTACGAAAGGTTTCATGTCAACAAGGAAAGCAAAATCATCTACAGCCCACACTGACAGCATAACTAGAAAAGAGACTATCACAAACTTCAATTTACATGTAAGAGAGGAAATTGACAACTGAAAACATCAAAACCAGTTCCTGGAGGCCTTACCCAAGTAAAGAGCCTGGTATTGCAAAACGCAAATAAGATCAACTTATGATCTCCTCTAGAAGATCATAAGAAAAGAGAATGGATATAAAACCAGTGCTACCACAGCACTGGTAGGGGCTCCAAAATAATTCTGGTTCAGAAGTTTTTAGTTTTGTGGAGAAGACAGACATGCAATAGGGGAGGTATCCTTTGAAGGCCTGGCCATGAAAAAAAAAAAGGGAGGAGGAGGAAAAGGGGAGAGGAACAGGGAGGGGGAGGAGGAAGAGGAGAAGAAGGAGAAAGCAGCTGAAGTTAAAAACCCTAAGAAACAAAACAGTATCAAAGTATCAGAAAACCAACCAACCAACATCCCAAAAGGAACAATTTATTAAAGAAACTACTTTTCATAGTTCCAATAATAGAAAACACTCTTGAACTAAGAAACCAAGTAAGCCTTTTTACCCAACCCCCTCCCCATCACCATCACTTGGCCCAGGAAAATGATACACCCTACATATTTCATTTTGTTTCATTAGGAACAACAAGAAAAAAGGATCCAAACACCCACAGAAAGCTATTATAAAGTGAAAGTAGAAAGAATCAGAATGCTTCAGCTGATAAAAATACCCCACCAAAAACTTTCCAAAAAATATAGAATAACAAACAAGGTAACAAGATACTCCAAAATGAATTAAGTGTAGCTAAGTAAGCTATTGCAAATATGAGATAAACCATGAATC